TTACTTACATACTGCTGGAGGGCTGTGCTCCAAATTGCTATCACAGCAGCTAAAAAGCCCTTGAAATTGACACTCACATCTGTAACAGTACAGACAGCAACTCCAAGGAGAACTAGTACTATGCTAAGCTTTGTATCCCTTGAATACTGGACCTTGTCAAAAATAACTTCCAGAAAGCAAGATACGGGAATCATGCTCAGCTTTGCTATCTGAGAATAACTTCTAATGAAATAATGAATAACTTCCAAAAGATTTAAACATAGAAGAGAATAATAACCAAAGTCACTAAAACTGACCTGATAGAAGCCCACAGAGTTCCACATCAAACTCACATTCATTCCAACAATAGAAAAGTTTGAAAACATGACAAACTTTAGAAGTTCGGGTAATGGTAGATAAGAATACTGAATATAACCCAACCATCTAAGAAGAAGAGTCAACAATGTTGTTGTGGCAAAATGCAAACCTGTTAATGTTGTAGCTGCAGCACAAGTATTAATGGGATAAAAAAATCAGGGTCTTCAGAAGCAGTCAGGCCAATTTTGTTAAAATTTTCTGAACATATTCAAAACAAGCTATATTTTTCATATGTATGATACTTTGTGGTATTTAAGACATTTTCTCTAGCTCTCTCTCATCCCACAAATCTCGTCCTGTCCATCCTAGAATTTTAACTGGTGATCTACAAGGTGGAGGCTAAAATTCTAGTAGCCGGATTGTCCCAGTGGAGACTTTTCACGTATAAGCTAAAGAAAGAAAACAATGCTAATTAACGATAGCTTCTATGTTTATCCAACCATAAAAGAGTTCTGTTCAACTCTCAACCTTCATTTATTTATAAAAACTCTCCCATTTGAAAGCCATTATACCTCCACAAGCAGGTAATGCCAAATTCTATTCTGGAACGTTCCAGTCAAGTCTTCTACATACATAATTGTTTTATTCCACAAAAATGCTAAGGCATGAGACAAAAAACTACCAGATAGGCGTATATTCATATCAAATGCCACTGGAAAACATCATCAAATAACTACAACCAACTAGATAAGGCCAGAGGTTCTTAAGCAACACCATGCATTAAACTTTTCCTCAAAGGATTCTCTAAAACAAAATTTAGAGTTACTCAGTTCTACTTATCCGTTCAAAGTTCACTTATATGTTCTTGTCTGTGAGAATTACTAAACCTTTCTGAAAATTTAGGGCCTGCTTAGATTTGGAAAGAATTTTCCATTTGTCATCTCCACTTTCACCCTATGCATAATCAATGAAAAAATGACGCCAGCTAAATCTCTTGAACCCTGGTTTCCTAGGTTTCTGGAAAATTGACAGAAAGTTCTAAATAACTGTCCAACTTATTTATAGAGGCAAGATGAACATAAAGTGGCTGGTCTAATAATATGTATTGCAATCACAGCATATTGAAGTTTGCAGGTAAAATGTTTATTAAGAGCATACCAAAACAGAAGCCATAAGTAGCCATCAAGGCTTTATTGACCATGATTATTCCCACGGATGTAACAATATTGAAAGCCCATGAGGCCACATCTAGAGCAGCCTTCCTATCAGCCTTGCTTACCGATGACATTTTACACTACAGTTTCCAACTTAGAAAGCAGAGTCTTTGTTTCTCAATTTTCCCGCGAGCAAAATTAAGTTCAGGTGTCAAAAAAACAGTAGTATACCTGTACGACAAAACGCAAAAGTTAAAGAAAGTACAAACATGCTTCCAAAGAACCATGAACCCTTCTTTTCCCTCGCTCTCTTTATACGCTATTTTCATAAACATTCTGTTAACTACTTATCCCATTAAAACCTAAATAACAAACAACGAGTGAACTAGGACATATTCATTGTTTTTCCCCACTGATGAAACAACCATTGTGTTTATTTGGCTACTCGAGATCTGTTCATTTTTATTTTAAAAATCACAATTAAGCACGGATCTAAAATTGAAACCTTTACCTACATAAATTTGACCTGCTTCCAAAGATATAAACGCAAAGGAAAATGACACTGAAAACGTTTGACCTAACAAATTTTCAGTTCAAAGGAAAAAAAATTGAATTCAAAATTTAAACATTTACTGAAGTTCACAGTACAGATCATATAAAATTGGAGAAATATTTTACTATTTCTCGGTAAGCAGATTCATCGCTCTTTAACATTTATTTAATTACGATTCATTCTTAAATCATACAAAATCAGAAGAAATGTCAGTCTGAAACAGCAAATAAAAGAGAAAAGAACAATAACAGAAATACTAAGTACATCAAAGCAAATACAAAAATTTAACAGAAGTCGCAAAACAAACTTAGAAAAAGAATTGTAACGAACCTGAGAAGAAGAAGAAGAAGGTGAGAGACCAATAAGGTTCTCTCGGGATTTGCCCTGTAAATAGGGTTTTTTCTCCTTCGAATGAAAGAGAAAGCGAAACTTTTTTGCTTTTATTTTATTTTTTGTTGCAGTGATTGCTTGATTTCAAATAATTTTCCTCTCCTTGTCTAGCCATTAAAGGACATGGTGAGGGGGAGAGATGTAGACTTAAAACAAAACTTAATTAATAAATAGAAATTCTTTAATGAAATTAAGGGTAAATAACTTATTTAGTCACTTAACGATTATGTTTTGATCACCGGAGAAAATTTTCTTTTTTTGACAAATTCATAATTAGTGGTACTTTTTTATTCTAAATTAGTCATCAATAGTTAAAAATTAAATAAAAGTAGTCATCTGATGGTTCAGGTTTTTCAAACATTTTATATAAACGTTTTTTTCACTCTTTGAGTTATTTTTAATATTAATTATAATTCGTCACATCGTATTATTAAATAATATACACTAATGTTTAATGATATTAATTAGTTTTATTAGGGAAGGGATGTGATTGACATATACTGATAATTTGAGATTAAATTAAAATACTTAAAATTTTGAGAACTAATTTAGAATTGATGCAATTTAAGGACGTTCAATGTAATTAAATTTTTTAAATTAAAACTATCTATTTTTTAATTATATTTAATTACTTAAAAAATTGTAAAAGTTTTAAGTTTAACACGTTATAATCATACTTAATTGTATTTATATTTATGATTGTTGATGTAGTTGGATACAATAATTTATACTTATAGCACCTTGTTGAAAGAATAAATCCATTAAACGATTTATAATATATAAAATTCAAAATAAATATATTTATATAATAATTTTTCTAAAAATAATTATAAACAAATAAAAAAAGAATTTGACAATAAATTACGAATCTGCTAGTCTCTTTCATTTTTGTTTTTTTAAAATAATTAGATTAAACATTACATCCTAATAATTTATCGAATTATTTTCGAAAATAACTTACAAATTATTTTCAAATTGAAATAACACTACAACGAGACGAGATGATATTTGTCTATTTTGGCTCCACTTTTACAGTAAAAGTTTTACACTTTTCAACGTTGTTCCACCTAAATTTATATTTTAATGATTTTAAAATTTAATATTGTAAAAACATTATGATTTTATTTATAAAAACAATTCTTTTAATATATTTATACAATCTGTAATGTATAATGCACATATATGTTCACCCACTGAGTCCACATTGTAAGTTGGAGTTGCAAAATTTATTTGCTTGTGTTGCCTATACGTGCATGTATAAACAGTATAATAGCGATTTGTTCTTGTCAAAATTGTGTGAGCTGTACGAAAAAGGTTAGGCCTATATAAACCGTTACAAGAATCTTATATTTTGCAAGTGACTCTACAATTAGACACATATCAATGAATTGTGCTTTGCAATCTTGCTATCCATATGAGTTAATTTTTTATCACGAATCGTTAACTGAAACTCAAGAAGTAAACACATTTAGCTACTCAAAATGTTCTAAACAATATGCTCGGTTTGTTTAAATCATCGCTTGGTCTGATACTTGATGGATGTATGAAGATTCGATCACATTGAACTTTGTAAAATAAGTTTGTGAGTTGTGACATCTTACTAATGAATATATTAGAAGATAAGTATCTATATCAATATGAACATAATACTAAAGAAAGAAATAAGGATGTGATATAACTTCCTTAAATAGCTTGTTTTTTAATTTGTGAACTTTTCTAATCAGCGATGCACATAAAATTGTGTTGTTTATCATAAAGGAACTCAACTATAAATAGAGACCTTCCTTACCCCATTTGTATCAATTATCGTTTGAGAATACAAATCATTTATTCTAAAACCCTCTTATTCTCCCTTTCTCTTGTTGACTTTCTCTTTATATTTTAATCTTCGTTCATTCAAAACTTAATGCTTCCAATGCTAATAGAATTTTGGATTCTCGCGAGTTGCCTTAAAGAATGACTCGAACTTCATCGTCTAAGATCGCATGAATCTCTAGATGAAACTCGAATCCTATAACAAGTGATATCAAAACTAGATTACGAGTAAGACACTAATTGAGATGGCACGCCAATAAGGAGATGTTTATGCACAACAAAGGATGGAAACTCGCGTTGGGCAAAATCAAGACGAGTTCAAGAGATATAATGGTGTTGTTAAAGGCAAAGGTGGTTAGGATACAAGAAAAACACTTGAGGTGATGAATCACTTTTACTTCTAGATCATAACTCATTTGGAACAAATCGACACAAAATTCATTTGAAAAATCCAAATTTTATTATATTCTCGTCTTTTAATTTTCAAATAGTTGGTGTAGCAAATAAGAAATACTCTTTTGCCTTCTTCAAAATGAAAGGCACACAATTTCTAAGTTCGAGTAAAAAACGATACAAGCTGATGTTTATCTGTTATTCGAGATTTAAACCACATCCAAATATAATCTTTTACAATCTAAAAAATAAATTAAAAATATGTACTTAAATTAGTCATTTCATTTCAGGTTTATCATCGATATTATTTGTTTTCAATTTTCGTAATGTTTTTGAACCTAATATACACAACAACAAAAAATTTACAAGACCACGATTTATAAAGCTTACCAGTTGAGAATGTTTATGATGTAAAATAAAGTCTTTACCTTGCTTCTTTTTTTTTCTCCTTACAGTTTGTGTTAGTGTGTGTCGTTTATTCATACCTTCAAGAGGAACATACTACTTGACAATGCCATCGATGCTAATATCGTTTGCACTGAAAACTTTGCGGGAAGACAAGCCGAGATCAAAGGGTCCCAAAGATTCTGTCTGCATCCACATTACATAGAAAGAAAAAAAATGATAATAAATATAAATAATAAAATGTAGTAAAATAAATGATAGCATTCTATGTTACTTGTACGTGGCTATGAGTGTTGTATTAATATTTACATGTATTTGTTAAACACGCATTTTAAATTTCCTTTGAAAAAAAGTATGTCCAAATATATATATTTAACACATATATATAGAATATGAATACCTAAAAATAGAGAGAGAATTTAGACAAAGGAATGAACGTAGTACCCAGTTGATGCCTGAGAGCCCCAGACTGCTTTCATCCTTGTATACTCGTGAACAAAGTGTCAAGTCTGTGTCTGATTGTTGAATATTGGCCTGAGAAAATAAATTCTTGAAATGTCTTATGCATGACATAACTCTAACTAACAAAAAACAAGTGCTTCAAAAGGAATATATATATATATATATATCAAATAGTTGATATGAAATTGCAACCCCGCAGATGATCTTAAAGACCAATTAATACAATTTATGATTGTTTTGAACATTAAAAAAAATGATGGAAATGACAATATTTTCCATCAAAACTGTCTTATGTTTGAATCGCATACCACATAAAAATAACAAAAATGCTGAATTGCTCAATGTGACTGAATACTAGAAGTGCTTTGTCGGAATATATTTTATAGCAGTCATTTTTTGTCTGCCAACAACGATAGAAAACTTCAATTACTAGACTTAGTAGTTTTAAACAACAAAATATAATGAAGAAGCTTGATAGCTATTATACTGAAAAATATGTTGTGTAAAACGGTTCTGGAATTGTGATAATGAAGGCTGGAAATTATAATAAAAATTTAGCAAACCTCTGTTAGATTGGGGTGTTTGAATGACTTAGAACCGATGTCCTGACTGCTGACATGGGAATACACACTTCCGCCAGAAGCTATAGCATTTTGGTCAGGAAGAGAATTTTTGAAATGGAAATGCATGGCATGTATCATCAGCATCTAAAATTGAATGAGGGTCCTGAACTGGCCGCCGTGGATTTTTAAAGGGATTCATTTGACCAGCTAGGAAAGCATCAAAGGAATCAGAGATCAATTGAGATGATTGCAGGCTGAAGTGATCCCATTTGATTTTGGATCACAATTACCAAACCTGCCCTGCAATGATTGTAACACCCCAATTTAGGGGCTAAATTTAAGAAATTATAAAGTAGTGGATTTAATTGGTATTTTTGAAAGAAACGGTGGATTAAATTGTAAAATTTTAAAGTTGATAGATCGTTTTAAGAAGTACAGGAAATTCAGTGGCTAAACTCATAATTTACCCATTTTTCTTTTAGAATGAATTATACCATTTTTCTGCGGATTATCATTTTCCTCTTCTCCAACAACCCTTCTTTCAACTCCGATCTATTCGTCGTCCGACCTCCGATCGACGAGCCGAAACCACCATCGTGTTCGTTGTCGAGCGACGAACAAAACCCCTCAAACCTTTCGACATGAATCGTCGCCATTCGTCGTTAATTTCAGTCGGAAGTATCGTCGGTAATAACCCGATTTCAATTGGTTTTTCATCGATTCACGACGATTCGAGCATCCGTTTACGACACCTCCCACACCATCGTGTTCCTTGCATCGTCCCGAGTCTACCGGTGTCATCCTTGGTCTCCGTCGACGGCGGCGCGTGAGTAGGTGAAGCGGTTAAAGTTTTCGATTCGTTGAAATCGAGCTCTCTGTCGTTCAAAAATTTGAACCGAGTTTTGTAAGTATCTCGAAATCGCTTAAAATAATTTTTAGGAATTTTTTTGGAGAATTTTCTGACATCATGGTACTGTTCACGCGCCGCCACTACACGTGGGGAAGGCAAAAGTGACCGGTTTAACCGGTTATAACCCGACCGGACTCGTTCACCCGACCCGACTCGTTGACCCGACCCGTTGACCTAACCCGTTGACCGGTGTTGACCAAAGTTAACCAAAACTTTGACGGGCTTTGACCGGGCATTAAACGACCTTTGACTTTGACCGAGTATACCTATCTTGACATTTTTCGATGTTCCAAATCCGATTCCGCAATCCGTTTTTCAAAATTCGAACCCGAAGGCCTTGAAATTGCCGGTCAAACCCGTTGACTTTGATTTTGACCGAAAATTCCAAATTTCCGAAAAGTCATATTTTATGCTTTCGACGTCCTGAATCTGAATCCGAGGTCCGTTTAGCCAAATTCGAACCCGGTAAGCTATTTTTCACTGATTTATCACCCGATTCGATCCGTTTATCGTAATTAAGCTCCGTTTTTTATATAATTTATGTTGATATGTATCTGAGGAATTATTGAAAGTTGAATTGAAGATCAAAGACATTCGAATGAAATTTTTATGGTCGATCAGTATTGCACGAAAATCGAGGTAATACTTTACTACCTCTTTATGCTTTATGGAACATGTGAAAATTGGTAAATGCATGATTAAGATAAATGTTGGTCTCTTTTGTGTAGTTAATTAGTTTCTACACTTGATCTGAATACGGCAAAAGGGTTCAGTAATTGATTATGGTTCAGATGATTTTTATAAGAAATTGAGGGATTGTTATAATTAAATTACAAGTTCTGTGCTTAGTGATAAAGAAATCAACATGGATTTGTAACTTATAGTTTATTTCATCAAAGGTTAAATGTTAAAGGTACTTGGGTGGGAAATTATGATAATACTCCGATAGGGTAAAATTACAAAAATACCCTTAAGTTGTAAGATGTCAAGAATTATCCCTGGAAGTTGATTAATAACTCTGAAAGGATATATTGATATGATAAAACTACAGATGTGCTTAAGAAATGCTAGATTTTGCTTACGAAATACGGATAACCGATTTTTAACCCCTAGAGGGTTTGTGCAAGATATTAGAATTCTATTAAGGAATCATTTCAAGATAAGAGAATGTTCGGGAAAGCAATTAATCATAGGATCTCTAAATTATAATTATTTTCTTTAAGAGCTAATATTGAAATTATCTGGTTAAGAAATTATGGAAATCCCTTTGAAAGGTAAAATAGTCCTAATTAACCCTGAATGAGAAAATACTTTGAGGAATTCTACTTAACTCGATTAAGTACGGATTTGATTGTTAAGATCCTGACTTATTTTAGGAAAATTCATGATTTTCCGTTTGTAAAATCTGAGAAGACACTTGACCCAGAAATATCCGAGTTATGAGTAAATACCTGAAGAATAATTTGTCGGGGTGTTATGTTGTCATAATTGTTTGAAAGGACTGAAATAAATTATAAGATTGAATTTAATAGTAAGATCGGACGGAAGGAAATGATTGAAATACGTTGAATCTATAAAATGACCAAAATACCCCTGTAATGGAAATGACCCAAGAATACCACCAAGCTCAAGAATGATTGGATATCTTCGAGCTCTGAAATAAATGGAATAAAAATGAACACCAAAATTATCAAAATACCCTTGTGTCCTATTCTAAGTAAATGCCTTGGATTAATTAAGGAATCCAAATAAGCATAGGTATTGGACTACCTTTATAAAGTTATGGAACACAGCCTAAGTAAGCCGATCAACTTTAATGATATGTCAGTACCTGAACGACATAAATATTACTTGAATGCGTGTTTGTCTACTCAAGTTTGGCTCGATGATAATTTTGAAAGTATTCAGCTCATCTCAACTCTAAATCGCATTCAGCACTAAGAATTGGATATTTGTTCGACAAATCAACCACGAAGACCAAATTGAATTGAACGGAAGTACAATATGTATATGAAATTCAGAAACGTCTGGATTATCTGGAAAGCTTTGAAGTAACCGGGATAGACTTGACTGCTAAATGAACTGAGTAACCTCATGACTGAGGATTAAATAGGTGATTGGATGAGTTTGGGAATACGGTTGATCTTACATGATGAATTGTCCTTATGGGTCATAAAACATGAATCGAGTACGTATGTATTTCCTGATATCGTTGAAACGTAGAAATGAAATAAAAACCATTAGAAGATCTATTCAACGATGATTATGGGGATGATCTATGGATCTACATTATGGTATTAAAGAGTGAATACACTGGAAGGATAACGAATTGACTTGTTGACATGCATCATTTTGGGAGTTGTGTAACTCGAGTTGTTGATAATACGATCGATAATCATAGATTGTAAATGACTTGAATATTTGATTCTATATTTTCATCTAAAATCACTTCGGTCATGTTTGAAAACGCAAGTAACGCAGAAGGAAAATATTCTGAATACCTCATTTGGTTCAATTGGGCTGAAATCCTATGAATTCAAAGTATATTCCTGAATACCTCTGATTGTTTGGGTAATGGAATCACTCGCAGTAAATCTGAATTTAGAATTATTATGTATAAAGGTTCCTGAACGTTTTCCTAATGCACATGGAAACTTAGTGGAATTTTAAAGTATCAATCTGAAATGTCTGATTAGATCAGTTAGAAATCGATTCTCTTCAATAAGATCTTATTACTGGAATCCGATTAAATTGCACAAGTTCATGTTATCCATATTGATAACTACAAAATACATCTGAAAAATATTTGGGTTCTTTGGAGTGTTCCTTATATTTTGAAAAATTGTTTTATTGTTTTAACATGTGGTATACTAAAATCTATGGTTACTGTTTTATGGATGCACCGACTTAACGGTGATGGCTTATGGATTTGTATCATTGTATAAATTGTATATTGGAGATACAAAATTGTAAAGTACAACTCTGATCAAGCTGGAAAATTTTTATGGACCTAATGTGACTCTTAGGTAGGCTCTGCGGCCCTGAGATCATTCTCGGGTAGGCCCTGCGGCCCTAAGATTGTTCTTAGATAGGCCCCACGGCCCCGAAATCTATCTTGGGTAGGCTCTCAGGCCCTAAGATGTTCCTTTAGGTTAATTCTTTGTAAGATGATTTTAAAATACGAGTTTAAAAAGCTCCATTACAGTATGGTTTATAGGATTTTACAGAACTATCATTTGATTAGTGTACCTATTATGGTTTTATCGTACTGATGGAACATAATAGGCATCCTATTCGACTTCATGAAAACGTGATAGTATGAAAGGTTTTTTTATGAACTGAGATTCATGGCTTTTACTCGATGAACTACTAATGGAACCCCAGATTATTCCGCAATTGGTATATGTTTGGTTCAATAAGGAAATTATGGTTTTCCATTTATCTACATGTCATGTAGCATCATCTGGTAGTTCTGTATTACTGAGCTTTTCGAAGCTCACTCTATTACTCACCATTGCAGGTTAAAAGAATTGTACCAGTATCACTATCAACATCAGTAAGGGAGTTCTCCCGGCGTTGCTTGCAGATTATGGTACATGTGATTAGGGGGCATGTAATTATATTTTGATTTATATACGAGTCTAGAAATCTGTTTTATTTTTGCATACTGATAAATCATTTTATAAGTTACATATTTTAATAAAAGTTTTAAATTTTTTGCCATTTTTACAGTGGGTCGCTCCGGTGGCCCTACTATGACACCCCGGATCGGATCGGGTTACCCGCATCAGTCTGGGAGGTTACATTTAGTGGTATCAGAGCTATCTGTCTGGGGTTACATTTAATGAAATCTTGAAGAAGGACTTAGAGCTCTCAAAAATGAAATTTGAAAGTATTTAAAAAGAAATTTTCAATTTGAAGGATAAGTTTGAATGTTTAACAAGAGAAAAAGAGATCATTCTAAATAATTCATCTAGTTCAATAATGGCAATATGTTCACATTGTTATTATCATGGTCATAAGGAACATACTTGTCCTTTAAAGAAAGGAAAACGATTTAAAATTAGACAAGTATGGGTTCCAAAAGGAACAAGAGGCATTGAAACTAATGTTCAAGGATCAAAGCAATTTGGATACCAAAATCTACTTAAATATCTCTTGTAGGTGTGTGAGAGCAATGGTGATAAAGATGATGATATTCAAGATGCTCTAGCCACACATAAAAAGGGAATGGGTAACCTCTAAACTTAATGTTTTTATTATTCGGTTGCTCATTTAGTTTATGCATGCATGAGGTTTTAAAATGTTGAATTATGTTTTATCTCATGTATGTTGAAAAATATTGTATGATGAACATGGTAATTTTTGGTAATGTTTTATAAACTCTAGTTTAT